GATTGAATGCTTCTAGTATTTATTAAGAGTTAAATGGGTTGATTTCTTTGTCTGAGTCTGTATTTTATGGTATTTCTAATTTCCCACCTTAAATGCTTCCGTTATTTTGCCACTTTGGGGATTCTGTTACATAAAGCACTCCTCGCTTTGCCAGTGGTTCTCTTGATCTTCATACTTCTTAGATTTGCCTTTGCCTGTTGCCAAGGATGGCTTACCTGAAGGAAGTTTTTACCAAAACACAGGTCTTGTAGCATCTCCCTCATTGCCTTTATAGTCCCTGGGGCCTGAGTTAGATTCCTTTTTCTCCTGGTAGGGGTGTAGAAAAAAGTGAAACTAAGAGAATGAAGGTCTGTTAAAGTGGCTAGGGATCTCAGGGGGTGGGTAGATGACGCAGGAGGAGTGATATTATTTAGGGTTTGAATTTCACTGTGTATTCAAATTAACAGGCTTTTTCAAATGTAGTAATACAAAATGTATACTGGATAAGAGGTTGAAATAGAGTTTGGGGTTATACATTATCTACAGATAATTGACAATTCGTTTTCCCTTTGGGCTTATAAAATTATACTAAGCACAGTTATTGTTTTTTGGTGAAGACTTTCTTAATAAGGTAACACTTGAATTGAGTCTTTTCAGGTGGTTTAGGGGAGAAGGGACTCTCCTGGAAGAGGAAATGTCATTTCAGAGGCATAGAGGGATGGAAGACAATTATATATTAATTATAAGTGGACTGTTATTGTTAGAGCACAGGACGTAGGAGGAGAAAGAAAGTTAAGGTAGGAGAAGTGGCAGAATAGGATCGTGAAGGGTCTTAAAGGCCACGTACACTGCTAGAGATAGGCAGCTTTCTGAAAAACTTTAAGTGAGTATGCTATTATGATCAGATTTCTATCTTAGAAAACTCATTGATTTTATCAAAAATATGTATCATTGTTGGGGTAAGGTTTTGTAGGTAGAAGGTGGCCATTTAATAGACCATAGCAATAGTTCGGGAAAGAGATGACAGTGGGTGGGGACTGATTCCAGAGATATTTATGAAGCAAAATCTCTGGAATTTGGTGACTGAGTGGATAAAAGACATGAGGGGAAAGGAATTAAGAAGGGCTGCAGTACATACCAGATAGATAATAGTTGAACTTTCACAGGTTAGATTGTTGTGTTGGAGGAGAAACTTTGAATTTTTATTTCATATATTTATTAATCACTTGTGTTTTTGTAAACAGAAAGCATACATTACTATTATATATATGTATGTGTACATATAGCTATATGTCTATGTACATCTACACATGCACACATGTATGTGTAGATATACACATGCACACATGTATGTGTAGATATACACATGCACACACATGTGTAGATATACATATACACATACACATATATGTATATATACACATATACACATACCCATATGTGTGTATACACATATACATATACATACACATATATGTGTGTATACATATACATACACATACACATATATGTGTGTATACATAACACATATATGTATACTTAGACATACACACATACATATGTGTATACATATACACAAATATATATATGTGTATACATTCACACACAACATATATGTGTATACATACATATACACACATATATGTGTATACACACATACAGATATGTGTATACACACACATATATACGCACAGATATGTGTATACACATATACATATATATGCACAGATATGTGTATACACATATACATATATATGCACAGATATGTGTATACACATATACATATATACGCACAGATATGTGTATACACATATACATATATACACACACAGATATGTGTATACACATATGCATATATATACACAGATATGTGTATACACAGACACCCACACAGATAAGTGTATATACATGTACACAGATACCCACACAGATATGTGTATATACATATACATACATACCCACACAGGTATGTATATATACATATACATATATACACACACAGATATGTGCTATACATATACATATATACACATACACAAATATATGTGTATATATATATTTTTGAGAACGAGTCTCGCTCTGTCACCAGGCTGGAGTGCGGTGGTGCTATTTCAGCTCACTGCAAACTCTGCTTCCCGCGTTTAAGCAATTCTCCTGCCTCAGCCTCCCGAGTAGCTGAGACTACAGGTGCCTGTCACCACGCCCAGCTAATTTTTGTGTTTTTAGTAGAGACGGGATTTCACCATGTTGGCCAGGATGGTCTCAAACTCCTGACCTTGTTATCCGCCCGCCTCGGCCTCCCAAAATGCTGGGATTACAGGGGTGAGCCACCACGCCCGGCCTACTATTACATTTTTTAAAGAGAAAAAGTCTCAGATTTCTGGTTACAGAACTAGGTATACATGAGGAACAAATATAAAGAAGGAAGATTAGAAGTTCAGTTTTGGGCTTGCTGAATTTAAAGTGTCTCAAAAGACCTTCAAGTATTATCAAGAGATAAAGTCCTTTCCTAGATTTCAGGCCTGAAGGAAAAATAGCATCTGGTTCAAAGTTTTAAGTCTCTGGCTGTGGAAACTAAGTCACACATCCAGGCTAGATGCAGAACTAGCGTTAGAAGTCAGAGTCTCAACTCCTAGTTTATGGTTCTTCTGCTGCAGAAAGAGAGCATCTCTGGAACCCTGAGGTACCCTTCTGAGAGAATTTAGCCAATGCTTTTCCATCTGAGACTAACTTCAGTTTATTCAGCCCTTCTCAAGTGTAAACATAGGTCCTCCTAGCCTGTCAATTTAATGGTCTTTCATAATTTTAAATGTTGTTTGGGAAATTATGATCCTGTATCAATTCTCTAGGTAAAGAGCAATCTGCTCATTTAACCCTTCTTATAGTGTGGAAGGCAGGTTTGCAGAGGCAATGTACAATGCTTTTTGGAACCATCTGAAGGAACAACTATTGAGTACTCCTCCTGACTTCACCTGTGCTCTTGAACTTCTAAAAGATGTTAAGGAGGTGAGTAACCAACTCCCATTCGTGGATGGGAAGTTCCTGGGCATCTCAGAACCTTGGATCGTCAATGGCTATTAATATATCAAGTAGCATACTTTTTTATTAACGTGACCTACTACTTAAATAGATACGATGGGGCAGCTTCCATTTTATTTGTATGAGATGAAACTTGACCATTGGGCGATTACTATAACAATATATAACTCAAATAAACAAATTCTTACTGAAACCCCACTATGGTCTATGTGTTTCAGAAGCCCAGAGATGAATAGGAGAGCCCTTGCCCACAAGGAACTTACCTGTTTGAGTCAAAAGGCTATTTCAAGGGAACCTTAAAGATTCCAAATTTGCTACTTTATCCTCACACTTTGGAGTAAAACAATCTAAAAATGTCTTTATCCTTTATTAAGAATGACTCATCTCCTTGTGGTGGTGTGTATTTCATATTTCTAATATCCTACACATTTAAAACCACATTCTTATTTTTATTCATATTTTTACCTCATTCTACCTAAAAAATAATAATGACTACTAATATAACTGATCCCAGTGAAACCTTGAATGGTAATTGTCCTCTAAACAGAGAGAAATAATACTCTCTAAGAGAGTTAGAGACTCAGTTTTCTGCCCCCCAGAGGACATAATCTGGGATGCCTTTGGCCTAAGAGTATAGTTCATTGGAGAAAGTTTGAGGTTCTAAACAGAACTTGGCTCCTTTGATTTCCTTTGTTGGGCAGACCTTGCTATCACTGCTATTACCATGGCAGAACCGCCTAAGAAATGAGATAGAAGAAGCTCTGGACACAGATCTCCTCAAGCAGGAAGCAGAACATGGGGCCCTGGATGTCCCTCATCTTTCTAACTACATTCTCAATTTGATGACTCTGCTATGTGCACCAGTTCGAGATGAAGCGATACAGAAACTAGAGACCATAACAGATCCAGTGCACTTACTGAGGTGAGAGTCTAGATGTGCTGTCCCCCAAATCTGCCTTAGACCCTGTGCTGGAGAACTCTGAGCCAGATGCTGTGATATAGCCCCTGTCTTATCTAGCTCTTGTGTACTGACGACCTGACTAACACACCTTTTCTCCTTTCTGGATTATTGGCTTTTATTTTCCAAGGACAGTCTCCCAGGGTTCCTTTGATGATCTTTAGATCAGTTGGGTCTCCTTTATGTCGTGATACTGTTAAGACATTAAGGTACAGTAATTCTTTCTCCTATAGATTGCAAATTGCCTTTTCCCAGATGTTGTCCTGTTTGTCTCAACTCAAACCTTGTGAGGGGACAGGAAAGAGGATTATCCGTGTTTCACAGCTAGAAGAACCAGGACCTGGAATAGTAAAATGATCTGCTCAATGAGTTAGAAATTCAGTCACCCACATCCCAGCTACCCACATATAATTGTTAACACCTTGGTGATTTTCCTTTCACTGACTACCCTTTTTTTTTTTAAGGTGACAAAATGACTACAGGCGAAAGACCTCTAATATGGTAGTTAAAGTGTCAGGAGGTATAACTGTCCTTAGTTTTGCCATCAACTCACTCTATGGCCTTGGGTCACTGGTCACGATACCATTATTCATAAGTTGAAGTAGGACTATTTGTTTTTAAGGCTTTTTCTAACTCTCAGATACTCTGCTTTTATGGCTCCTTGCTTGGATTCCACCCTTCCACACTAGATTTCCTTTAATAGTGTAAATGTTCTGTTTCTCCCTATGGCAGGGGCATCTTCCGTGTTCTGGGCCTAATGAAAATGGACATGGTGAACTATACCATCCAGAGCTTCCGACCCTACCTGCAGGAGCATTCCATCCAGTATGAACAAGCTAAATTCCAGGAACTCCTTGATAAACAGCCCAGTATGTTTAAAATTTAAGGGCAAGAGAGGGGAAATTCGACCTCAGGTCTGCCTTCTTATAGCAATAGAGGCTATTTTCTATTTCTTGAAAAGGAAGATTCTTCCTTGGGCAAGGGGTAGGGAGAGGGAGTGTTTCTCTAAGATCGAAAGATCTACAAAATCACTTCTTTATAGACCAGGAGTATGTCTCAAAGCTGTCCTCTTTAAGCCTTGGAATTTTACGATGCATATTTCCTTCTCGTCATAGGTCTCCTCGATTATACCACAAAATGGCTAACCAAAGCAGCCACAGACATCACTACACCATGTCCGAGTTCTCCTGAGTCACCTAGCTCCTCTCGCAGCGTGGCGTGTTCACTTCCAAACGGGGCAGGTAACAACTCAGAGCCCCCGAGTCCAACAATGGTGCTATACCAAGGCTACCTGAACCTCCTCCTCTGGGATCCTGAAAACGAAGAATTCCCTGAGGTAGGGATGTGTGTTGGGGCATTGCCTTGTTCTATGCTATTCAGTGCCTCCATTCAAACCCTCCTCTTCTGATGGGCTGTCCTTCGCTCCCTCACCAGACTCTGCTGATGGACAGAACCCGGCTCCAGGAAATGGCGTTCCAGTTGCACCAGTTAACTGTCCTGGCCTCAGTCTTGCTAGTGGCCAGAAGCTTCTCTGGTGAAATTTTATTCAGCTCATCTGAATTTGTGGATAGACTGAAATGCATCACCAAGGCCCTAACTGAGGAATTTATCTCCAGGTAAGATTCGTAGATCTCTGTTAGAGGGAAAAATGTGTGGTATTTGGGACATAGGTAATATCAATACTATTATTGCTTATTCTTCATCACAAACCACACAAAGGCCCTTGGAAACGATCTGCAAAGATTTTGGTATCTTTGATAAGTTGTATTGAGGTTTGGGATACAGAAAATAAAACTTATTTTCCAAAGAGGAGAGTGTGGAAGCCAGTTTGCTGCAAATATTCCTTATGTGCTTGCTAAAAATGCATCATTATATACTTGATTGAATGACAGTGGATTTGTGCTATGTGTATCCAGAAGTTGATCAGTTGGTCAGTGATAGTGACCATTCACTGCATGTGGGGGCAGGGATATTATACCAAAGTAAAAGGAGGAGTTGGAAGTCCAGGCCTCTTAATTTATTTGCAATTTAATTGGTGGGGTAGGAGAAAAACCGTGAAAAATATCCAATAGAGTCTTAAAACAATATTTAAATACAGTTGATGGGACTGGAGAATGCTGAGTAGATCCAAGGATGGAACCGAGCCCTTGCCCAATTTACTTTGTTTTCATCGAAGTGGCGTATGGTGCTGTATGTTTGGATCAAGTGGTGCCTTGTGGGTAACAATGAGTGTATGTCATCTGCCCGGTGGCTAATGCTGTCTTCTGGTGGCAGAGAGCCGGAATTCTTCCTGGAATAGGCCTGGTTTGTGGTATGAGGCTCTCCGGACTTTGTCCCTCTGCCAGGCCCACTCTGCATTCTATCCCTCATTATCTAGGCCTGAAGAGACTATGCTGAGTGTGAGTGAACAGGTGTCTCAGGAAATCCATCAAGGCCTTAAGGACATGGGCCTCACTACTCTGAGCAGTGAAAACACAGCATCTCTCCTAGGCCAACTCCAGAACATCACCAAGAAAGAAAACTGCATTCGGAGCATTGTTGGTAAGAATCCCCATGGTCGTCGTGCAGAAAAGTGGCAAGAATGTGGGGGGTGCGGGGGTGGGTAGACCTTACCCTGAAAGTGAGTTACCTAACCATTTAAAAATGAAAAGGCATGATCATTTGGAAAGTTGTTCGCTTTAGTTTCCTCTTCTATAATGTGCATGGTTCAAATAGATCTTTTTCAATTTGGAGAATGCATGTATGGTTTGAAGGCAGCTCTGCACCCAAGATATGTCATTCACAGGTGTTGGATACTGTCACAGTAACCCTACGAATCATTCCTGGTATTTTCTTTTTTCTCTTCTCTTCTTTTCTTTTTCTTTTCTTTTTTTTTTTTTTTTTTTTTTT